AGCCTTGATGCCACAGGAAAATCATCCTGTAGCACTAGATAGATTCCAACCAAAACGAGTGGTGATCATAACCAGACTGACAGTACTAGAATTCTAGTTCTTGAACTGATTTGAGGTTACAAAGTTCCCTCAAAAGTCAGAAGTCAATTTGGGACCAGAAAGATAGCTAATTGAAAGTTCGGGGATTCTTCAATGCATTCATTTATTTAAACTGTATTAGTGATGCTAACCAAAAGCATCTGAATCATTTTACAGAAGGACGAAAGGGCTTTGCCATTTTCGAACTCATGTAAAGAGCACTCCAGGAAAGAGGCCAGAGAGAGAGAGAGAGAAAGAAACTTCAAGATCATGATCACATGGACAATTAAAGCTGCAGGTTTAATGTGGAGGTTTCAAATAAAATATCTGTGGTTATCTCACTTCTGAAGTCCAATAAAGCAGCCCTAATCGGATTAGATATTTTGGAGTCAGTTCATGATGAATTTACAAGATCAAAAGATATGTGTCACAGGTTGATCCAAAGCACTCCTCCGTGTACCCAGTTTAAATATTACTTTGTTTCAGTGTTGGTCAGCACAGATATTCAGATAGAGAGGGATAAGGCAGTCACCAAAGTTTGCATGGAACAAACTATGGTATTTAATGTCAATTAAATGACACACAAAAACAATTAACAGCCATTTGTTTATTACAGCAGTGAAGCACCAACTATTTGATCATCTGATCTATGTTTTTCATTTAAAGTGTCTACAATTTAGTCCTACTTTTCAAGTTGACCAAAATCACCAGGTATTAGGTTGGATCTATCAATGTACAAGTGGAAACATAAATAGACTTAGTGTATTACCGCTTGTGCTAGATCTTGTGCAATGCCTAGCACTTTCCTTCATATTTATTATGGTTTCCATAAACTGCACAAGATCTTGCACAAGCGGAAACACAAGTGGGGATATATACCTTTGACTTTGTGAAAGTGGCTGCCACAATCTTTTCTTGTGTTACCACTTCCGTAAGAGCTCTAGCACAAGCAGAGATTTTGCTCTGGATCCAACGCATTATGTGGAATCAACCAGCTTCTCCACTTACGGAAAAGGGAGGATGGATGGGGAGCACCAAAAAGAGTATGCAGGAGATCACGGCACATGCATGGACAAAAGCCAGCTGGATCCAAAGTATATCATATCATGTCCCATAACAGCACATGGAAGGACCAGCATATACATATATTAGCTTGGGAACCTACAGCCACAGTACAGAAATGAAAGAGAAATTTGAGAATGATTATGCTTCACGTTTACAGAATCATAGTTTAGACTGTGCTGATTTCCAGGGTAGGTCTGGTATTTCTGGCATGACAGGCTGGCTTTACTTGTTAAGATTAAATGTGTATGCACGTGTTGCTTTTAAAGTGCAGTACAGTAAATTTAACTCTGGAGGATGGCGGAGGACAGGAGGGCCTGGCATGATATGGTCCATGGGTTCGTGAAGCGTCAGACTCGACAACAGTGAATCTAAATACCTCAACAGCAAATTGGAAGAGAAAGGGTGCAATAATTATAAGGTCTGAGTCAATTTCTCTAGAGAATACCTAATAGAATGTGTATGATTCTGCCATCAGGTGTACTCTTTCTATACACTGGGTGGTGGAAGAGGAGAAGGCTGTGGGAAGGGAAGTGGCTTTGGCTCAGTGGCAGAGCATTTGTTTGGCATAAAGAAGATCTCAAGTTCAGTCCCTGGCATCTTCAGTTTTAAAAAAGGATCAGGTAGCAGGTAATGTGAAAGGCCTCTACCTGAGACCCCGGAGAGCGGCTGCCAGTCCAAGTAGACAATACGGACCTTGTTCTGACAAAGCAAATGTGTTCCGTCCTGGTATGTATCTAAAATACATTTTCTGCCAGAAAAAATACGTTTCCACTGGAGGGGGAGGGGACAATTTTCACCAGTTACCTCCTCCCTCTGCAGACTTTCATCCTGTGCCTGGTGGTATTCCCCAGGCATTATACTTCAAGAATGCAGAAGGCAACCAAAATGGGACACTGGGAAATTTTCTTTCTATGAATGGGCCTCCACTTGTGGTACTTTGGTTCCCACCCGCTCTGTGTTCCTGAACATTTTGATAGCTGCACAGGATTTCTCACAAAGTCAAATGGTAGGAACACAACAAAACTAGGCCAACTCATGTAAAACATAGCTTACTTTCTTTTGATAACTATTAAGGGCAGAAATAGATAAAGGTTTGAAATGTTTGCATTGAGATATGTTACCTTGAAATTTAAAATGAAAACGGGGAAAGGAAAACAGAACAATGAAAAAGAGGGCAGGGAGGAGCATTGCGGGAAGCCACCAAAGGGGGGGAAGGAAACAAGAGAAATGGATATGTGATTAAAGGAATGTAACTGAATGTTGAATATGTTGTAATATCCAAAATAAAAGTTTTGACATTTAAAAAAAAAACTAGGCCAACTCTGACCCAGAGCAATACAGTGAAAAGACTTGTTATAGTTGGACAGGAATGGATTACAGGAGAAAAGCTTACAGGAGAAAAGGAAATGGAAACTACAGAAGGAAAGAGGGGTAAAGGAAGACCTGCACATTACAGAAGGAGCAGATAGTCTGAAATAGCATCTCAAATCCAGATTTCATGCCAACCTTTGGCCTTCTAAGGCAAAAAATAGATGTAATTCCTGAAAAGTTGAAAAAAAATTATGATATTTCAAAACTGATTTTGTGAAACACTTGGGAAAATCAAAAAAGGAGACACATCACATGCTAGTCACTCAACATATATTTTCTCACAAGTAAAGGCAAGCAGACCCCCCTCAACTCTATTCTGGTTCTTTACAGTCCCACAGAAATCCAATGCTTATATTCACTGGCACCAATTTTTCTCATCAGTTTTGCATGTAAGATATGCTGCTTGGTAAATTTAGTTCTATATACATAAATGTATTTATATATACATCATTGCCAAGTGGAAACTATGCACATGAACTAGGTAATATACAAAATATGTCAACTCTTTTGGCAGCCAAGACTCACCTGACCACAGCGTTAGCTATGCATAGCCTTCAGTTATGTACCAACAGATCACAAAAAGCATTGTTGCTAGAGGAAAACTGCTATTACAACACCAGTTTTTGTTCTTTCAGCCTTTGAAATGAAGCAAGCTGGATAGATTCAAGAAGAAATAAAACACTTGGCAACAGTCTATGTTGCTCTTATTACCCATTGAATTTTTAAAATATTTCTATTGTACACTTGCGTGGAATTCAGAGGGTTCTTCATGCCACGGAGTGTTTCAGCATGCTTCCTAAAAGAACACTAAACAAAGAACACATGACAAACCGTTGTCTCCCAACTGATTAAAGTATGTTCCTTGCTGGCACAGGAAAGCACTTAGTTAATCCCAATGGCTTATGGCCAACAGAAGTATTCCACCCACTACCAAGCACAAAGTTCAAGCACAAATGCAAATATGCATTATAAAACATGTAGCTTCTGAAATCTTATGAGTCTCAGACCCCTGGTTCTGCTCCTTTTAAAATCTGACCGATCCAACATCTTTGTCCTCATATGACTTTTAACTATATTGCGCTTGAAAGGAATTTCGTGTCAGGAACCAGCCTGCAGCTATGCCAGAACACAGGTAATGAAAAGAAAAATAGCTCCACACCCGGCTTTCAGTGAAAACAAACTAAACAAAGTTTCATCCCAACTCAATGTGACCAACAGTTTTCCTGGGGTCGGTCCAAAAATCTTTGTAGCCCAGGGTCCCATTACTGTATGGCAAGTGGCAGGTGAAGCAGAGCAAGAATAAAACTTCACAGGGCAATTACTTCACCCCCCACTGTGTAGTTCCATTCTTCTAGCAGCCTAATGCTCTGAACACAAGCAGCTCTATGAGGCTGGATGAATGACTCATCATCTGTGTACCCATTATGAGAGATGTGTGACCTTGACAACAGATATAGTGTTTGATCTGGTTGTGCAAACAAGGACAGTGGAGAACCAGCACATGAAAAGAGACTAGACAGATATCCAGAGGGCAAGAACAGTGGTATGAAACTGGAAGAACAGAATTAATTTATAACCTGCATCAGCAGATTTCCCCCTTTCTCCCTTCCCAACCAACAGTGGGCCTCAAGGATTCCTACATTAAAGACACAGTGTGTTGGGTTGGTCCTAAGTATGGAGCCTTCCTGTAGCAGAACTTCCCTTGCACTAGTAAAGTGAAAAATGGAGGATCCAACCCAATGTCCCTTTTGCCAATACCATGATGGTTTCCTAGAGACTTGAGCTGCCCATGACTGAACTATATCTAACAAAAAGGTATGAAGGGGAACCAAGAGATGTAAGTACATCTGGCATGGTTGCAACATCAAATACATGTCCCTTTTTTAAGGTCCACAGCAAAATAACAAGGAGTCTGCTGAAAATGGAAATCAGGTGACAACTACTGTAAATACAATATTTGGACATATAGCTTCTGGACCCTCATTTAACATTAATAAGAAGCAACTCCTGGAACAAAATCAAACTATTGATGGTATACTCTGATTTGGACAATAACTTAAGCTGCTTCAAATCCATTAGTCATCACCTTACCGCATAACAACAGAAAGACAGCTGTACAGATCAATTGTGGATTGCATGAAAAGCCAGTAATATTTTTCAACTCCCACTTTAAGCCAGCTCACAATATTTTTTCAGCATGTCCAAGCAGCCAAAACAGTGCTTTATGTACTTGTGTGAAACAAGAATGCCACTTGAAATTGCTGCAGACCTATACCTGCAGGTGTCCGATTGCTTATGTTTCTCTGCATAAACAAATACAGCGTGTGTGAGCAGAAAAGCTCCTGTGAGAATCAGCACCAAATGAAAGAGACAAAGCTCCAGTTGCACACTAATTTCAGGCCAAGACAGCAAAATTACATGGATGTCCACGATGAATGGCTCACTTTATCATGTGGGAAAAAATCTCTACAAGAAATGGGACCCACCTGTTTGCTTTTCAAGGACTTCCTAATGGTGTTTTGCTCCACTTCTGTTCCTTCCATCCCTCTCAGTACATTAATAAAGTCTCTCTTTGAAACAGATGATATCAATTTGGCCCGTTTTCTGTCGGAAGTCCCTGCCTCTTTTGCCTTCTCTTCAACATTTCTTTGGTGCTTCCGGACAGCATTAAATAACTGGACTACTCCCCTGAGAATTAAGAAGAAAAGTTTAGGCATCCAAGTGTTATCACTGAAACATGACCAAAGTAGGGTAAGCCTGGGCATTTATGGCTTAATGGTATATCTGCTACAGGCATACAGTGAGGCACAGGAAAAACCAAGGCTAGTACAAAGTCAATGGCTAGCAGAGAAACTATATTATTCAAAAGCCAAAGAGATTAAAATCTGCCTAATCAACATATTTTTCACAGATGTTTGTATTGTTCATGTTCCCTGAACAGCTCTGGGTTGGATTCAACAATCTGCAAGCATAGCTCCCCTCATGGAAGAGAAATTTCCCTCTCACTCCCTTCTGTTACAATCCCAAACACAGCCCCCAGAGGCCAGGGGCCTTCAGAAACAGCACTAACTGTGATGTGGAAGTCTGTAGTGACAGGGGGAATCAATTAAAAAGCATACCCTCCACAAGCTAACATGAGAAAGCAATCAGAACACAACTGTAGGATCCAACCCACTGTGTCCAATTATCACCCAAACATAAGAGACAAGTAACTATGACCACAATTTGTAAAGGCAAAACATACAACCTTCAACCTGTGGTGGACATTACAAAATCCATCTTACATAGCACCACAGTTTGCATTTGTACATATTATGGGATAAACTTCAGTGGTTTCTCTCTCAAGGATGCCTGTATTAATGACTACAGAGTAGCAATATTCAAAAAATGATGATGGGAAGCACCGGCGTAATCTTCGCGGGGGCTGGGGGGCTGGCGCCCCCCCCCCGAAATTTCCCCAGAAGCCCCGCCCACCCCTCGCCCTCCCAAGCCTCCACGTTATGGCCGCCCCAGCTGCTGTCCTGCCTGCCTGCCTGCCAGCTGTCAGAGCCGGAGGGAGGGGAAAGATGCCTGCAGTTTGCGCAGCGGCAGCGGCTAGTTCTCGGCCGGGGCAGCGGAGGCAGGCCAGACTCGTTGTCGGCACTCGGCGGAAAGCACGCCCGGAATGGAGAGCGCGAGCTCGGGGAAGGGAGGGCGCTGGGTCGTCGTCTGTGCGTGCGCCCCCGCCTCCCTTCACTGGTCATTTGTTTAAAGGACATTTGCTTCCTCCCGGCTCGCAGAGCCAGGTGATTTTGGGATTTTAAAAGCTGCTTTGCTTTCTATCTTTTTTCCCTTCCAGAACTCCCCCCCCCCTTTCATCTGTAACTTGACTTCAAAGGCCCCATGTAGTCGTTGTCGGCACTCGGCGGAAAGCACGCCCGGAATGGAGAGCGCGAGCTCGGGGAAGGGAGGGCGCTGGGTCGCCGTCGGTGCGCGCGCCCCCGCCTCCCTTCACTGGTCATTTGTTAGGAAAGGACATTTGCTTGCTTCCTCCCGGCTCGGAGGTCCCTGGGGCCCAGCAGCAGAGCCAGGTGATTTTGGGATTTTAAAAGCTGCTTTGCTTTCTTTTTTCCCTTCCAGAACTCCCCCCCCCTTTCATCTGTAACTTGACTTCAAAGGCCCCATGTAGTCGTTGTCGGAGGCGTTCCCTCTAAGCTGAGTCAGCATGAGCTAGCTCACAATTTTTTAGCTTCCAGCTCACACATTTTTGCCTCCGCTCAGGAAGGACGACTCCAGAGCAAACTGATTTATGCAGGAGCCAAATTGCACGCTCACAACTTCAATGCCAGTCGCTCACAAAGTAGGATTTTTGCTCACAAGACTCCACAGCTTGGAGGGAACAAAGCTAGCTCACAATTTTTTAGCTTCCAGCTCACACATTTTTGCCTCCGCTCAGGAAGGACGACTCCAGAGCAAACTGATTTATGCAGGAGCCAAATTGCACGCTCACAACTTCAATGCCAGTCGCTCACAAAGTAGGATTTTTGCTCACAAGACTCCACAGCTTGGAGGGAAC